TGAGCGATTTACGCCTCCAAGACAACTCATCGTACTGGTTGCAGTTTTCGAGAAGTCCTGTTCGGTCAGTGTTTTTTTTTCTTTGTGTCCACAAAATCTAGGTTGCAACGCATATCAGGGTTTTTGATGCGATCATGCGTTTTTGCGCTAAACTTGAAGCATTGTGAATGGTAGTTGCTTTGCGTTTTGAGATGTGCACTCATGTTGGCTGGTTTTGGTCTTGTATACAAGAGGAAAAGGAGAGAGTGCTGCATTATGGGGTCGCGTGAAATCTTAGCCTCCAGCATACTGTAGTTTTTATATGAATGGAAGTGAAGGGTTTGCTGTCACTGGTCATTTGTTGGAAATACAATTGGGCAACGAACAAGATATCGAGAGGAGGATGACGAAATTCGAGCTAGAAAGTTTCCCGCCAGAATTTTGACGTGAATTACAGGCGTACTTAGGAAATGAAGCCTTTGGATCGCATGTGGAAAGAGAGCATTTTCTTAAGATTTGAACTCGGCCTCTTTAGTTCCCGAGTTTCCGTCAAAACTTTCACATGTCCATATGTGAAAACGAGCCTGTTTAGGAATCGAATTTGAAATTTGCACCGCACACAGGCAGCGAGCATCCTTCCAAAATTTCAGCTTTCCGGCTTTCTTGGTTTTTGACTTAGATCGCGCATTTTTTAAATAACCAGCAGGTTATTATTTAACTCACAGATCGTACTCCTTATTTCTGTCAGTTATGACCTTCCAAAATGGTTGCCTCGAAAGTGTAATTTTTCTTAACTTTTCTTACCTTTCAGTGCTTCATTATCCGTTGATGGCGTCTATCACGATATGGTACCGCTGAATCCACTCAAGGTTCCCTATCAAATTGATATCAACGAGCTGCTTTTTGGTGCACAAAGTGTTTATGGTGCCAAAGGCTTTAGGGTGGGCCGTCTTTTCTAATGCATTTCCTAATTTTTTCCCTACTTTTTATTATGTGTTTTTTGCAGCTATGCAATGCAAAAACGCATATTCCCGAGGGGTTGTCTGTGTGTATGTGTGTCTGTGTGTGTATGTGTGTCTGTGTGTATGTGTGTGTATGTGTGTCTGTGTGTGCGTCTGTAACGAGTTTTCATCTCG